TACTCCTAATTATCCATAAACCCTTTAACCAAAAACGAAAACACTTGTCAATGAAACTCAAATTTTGCGTTTTAAATCATGATTTTTTTTTTTTTAAAGCGAGGACAGAGCAGAAGTTGGGCTCAAGTTGCAGAGAAAAAGCAATAAAATCCTTATCCTGCAACAGTGCAACCAAGTGTTCAAAAGTTAAAACCCAAAAAACTAGAGAAAAATAATGCTTTGAAAAAGAATCGATAACTTACTCAGTCAAGCCGCGTTGGATAATATTAATCAAATCCCATGTTCTTCGAGCCCATGACCATGACCATGAGAGAAGATTACACGGAAGTGTATATTATAAGTTAAAACCATTCTAGTCAAGCAGCACCTTCTTAGCAACTTTCACACTTAGTCTTCAGCACTGGACAATCGAACCCAAACAAAAAAAGAAGTAGAATCTGTTATTTTACATTAATTGACTCCATTAATTGCACTTAACAAAGCGATGTATGATCATTTTCTTCCAAAGGTATCGATCCCATTAATTAATTAATTAGATGGATAATAGTTGGTTGAGTGTGAGTTCAAAAGAGCTGCGTCTCAAGAAAGTTAAATCGATCTAGAACCTAAAAAGTGGAAAAAGAAGAAGAAGAAGCGATACGGTCTCTCTTCTTTTCAATGGCCTCTTCTTAAAAGGTGAGAAGCGCATGTTAATTATGTTGGAGCCGTGACAAACACTTCCTCCTACTTCTATTGTTTTTGTCTCTGTCAAAGTAGTGCAAAATAAGTTAAACAATTTGGTCGAGGACAAAAAATTTGGTCAAGGTATTCTAGTTGCTTAAATTCATTGTTTATAAGCAATAACGATTCACAAATTCTGCGAGAGAGAGAGAGAGAGAGGATGTGGCTGGCACTAATATTTGGAAATTAGATAGTGGGTTCTAGCTAAATTTAACTGTTCAATCAACACTTGGCATGGACCTAAACAATTTCAGATAATTTTTTTATATATATAATGTTAATCATTTACAAAATGGGAAATAATTATTCTACAATATGGTATATGCTGCAATGTTCAAACCTTCTTTAAAAAATAAAAAATAAAAAAGGAAAAAAAATAAGGGAGAACAGCACCATAAAATCGAGGTGGCACTTTTCGCTCAGACAAATTTTTGTGTTTCCCTAAAACAAAGAAAAAAGTTTTATGGTACAATTGGTTTGTTGTAAAGCAATTTTCGTTCACATGACAGCCAGACAAATGTCTGTGATGTGTCAGTTTACTCCAAAAAGGCAAAAACACGCACAGTACTAAACAAGTAGATAGAAAACTAAGAGGAACAGAAAGATGAAAGAAACGATTGGCTACTTAGCATATATATATATATATATATATAATGGATTTTTTTTTTTTTTTTTTGAACGGTGAGGGATCGTTTATGAATTCATGTCAGTGTATTTTGTCTTTTTTGTTTTGGCTTTTAAAAGTGACAATTACCAAAGTTCTTGTTAAAAGAAAAAAGAAAGAAAGAAAGAAATAGTACCAAAGTGTTGACTAGGAGAATTTGCATGCACGTGCAAACTTAGCCGTTTGATTGTGGGGACATTGACGTATTGAATGGAAGAATTATGTCCCTACATGTAACCGCATAATTTTTTTTTTTTTTTTTGGTTAAAAAAAAAATTATCATGTTTTGTTTTTTATGCTGTCCAGAATTTTTGGTTAGAAAAGCTGGATCAATTGCCCAAACGTGAAAAAAAAAAAAAAAAGGGGAGGGGGGGGAATTATTGAATTGCTATTAGTACTAGTAGGGCCGAAGAATGACCAGGTTTCATGGCTCCGGCCCATGCCAATTGCCCTCCCAGTTAGTTGAAAATGGGCCTTGAGAGAAAAGAAATTGGAAAGTGTGGAAAAGGAAAACAGAGGCTCATAAGGAGCTAAACATTGTGTTGGGCCACATTCGGCCCAAAAGGGAGGAAGCACGAGTGAATGAACCGCATAATGGAGTCATATGAATTACAGTTGATCCATTAAAGTGAAATTTGTAAGTTTAACTTTTTGGGAATACTTCAGTGTAGTTAGGGTTCGAACAGATCCTCAGAAAGCAGAAAAGATGGGCTTAAGTCGAGTTCAAATATTTCTCATTAAAAAAAAAAAAATCAATTCAAGAATATGGAATGGTCATGGCCTTCTAAAAAATAATTTCTTAGACGAGAAGTGATTCAAATATAAAATAAACAAATAACCTTTTTTTTTTTTGAATTTTCAAGGATCTTAAACTCAAAATTTCATATTAATTCTTTATTATTCGATCGGACACATATGACAAATATTGTTATTTAAAAAATTAATTACGTACATAACTCAAATTCGAAGCTATTTGTTTAAGCCATTAAACCTTTTTCTACTTAAGTTAATTCTCTTGAAGCAAATAACCTAATTTTAAGCACTTGAGCTTTCATGGTATGCAACATTAATGATTTGTTCTAAACAGCCATTTATCTCTTAATTATCTTAAGCAGAATTATTAAATTAACCCGTTTGCTAAGAAATCAAACAATATAGTAGTTTGTAGTACACCTCTTTATTAGTATAACTGGTAGATGCAGTGGATTCAAATAATAAAATTAGCCAAATCTATGGAATTATTTCTCACGAAGAATAGGCTTAAAGTCGATCAGTTGCACATATAATGCAGAAACAAAGAAAGAAATTATCCGTTTTATAAGCGGAATTAAGCAGAAGGAAACTGGACAGATGAAAGTATATATGATATGCATATAAGAAATATTCAAATATGTTATTCACTGGTTTTTTTTAGTTCATAGGGAGGTTCATGGGCCTTGAACGACACAATAGAAAGAGGTAGTCCTTTCTTTATTATATAATCATCAAATAAATTTAGAATTACTAGCAATCTAACCTTGCTTCACTAAGAAAGCCACCCATTATATATTTACTGTCATTTATTGAACAAGAAATGGAAAAACATGGAGTAATTTACATTTAGTATGGAGAATGGACGGACACTCGTGATGATTAAGCATTCAAAGAAGCACTACGAAGCAATTAATTTCATTGATTAAGTTGAAGCTTAATATCAAACGAACTGGGAAATCTCATTGCTCATTCTCCAATATTGCTTCATCAAGTATATATATAATCATGAAATATGCACTGTGTGTAAAGTTAATTGATTAGAATTTAAGTCTTCTCAAGGATATGCTTTGACGAAGGATGGACCATGAATCCAAGTTGGTCGTTGGCTTGAGCGAAATAAGTTCTAATCTTTTAAATAAGTAGTTTTGATTTCAATTATAAGTAGAAATTTTTTGAGTAATTGTGTCCGTTTTGTACGTCCGATTGAATAACGAAGAATTAATTTGCATCCTTGAACTTGAGATATCCCGAGAATAAAAAATAAAAAAAAATAGATCATGAAAATATTTTGCTCCCAAATATCCAATTCAAACTTCATTCTCATTTCATCACTAGAAATTAAGCTAGATGTATAAGACAATGTACTAAATCCTTTCAATCTTCTCTAGCAGAAGAAGTCATCCCTGAAATTCACACTTGTGTGGTTTCAAAGTTGTAATTATTTCATTTTCTTATGCGAGTAACTAAAACATGTGTGAATTATGTGGATGAAACCAACACCAATCTCGAAGTTTCAGTCTTTGTTACAACAAATTTTCATACTAAATTACCATGCATCAGCAGTTTCAACTTTCAAAGAAAGAAACTCAATGTAGTCTTTGCACGAACCAAGAATATAGAACAAAAAGCAAGTTCCTATGGAAGCATAGAAATTTTTAAACTAAGGTGCACGAGCAGTTTCTTAATTCAAAACTATCCCGAGAGTCACATTTAACAAGGCGAATATCGTTGGTCATATTTGGAATATCGAGCTTGAATTGTTAATTAACAATGGTGAAGAGTAAAGAGATGCTGATATATAGTAGTAGGAGCCATGAGATCGTACGAATTAATATTAATAGCAAATGCTTATCTTTTTGGACAATGTGTGTTCATATTGTAATTGCATTTGGCAAGCAATCAACAAGATGGGGAAATAAAACATATATGAAAAATGAGACCAAGAAGGCTTGCTCCCAATGACCTGACAGAGGTGAAGGAAATATTTAATTTTCTCGGGATCATTAAAACTTATGAAAATGATGCACTCCAAGTTCAAGGCATGGACACATAATTTGTTTCGATAAGTTCAAATTTGCATTATCTAGCTTCTGCCAATAAATGTGTTTCATAATCTTCTAAAAGAATGGTTACTAACAATACCATATACCATATAGTAATGATCATAGACATGAACAAGCAAACCTCAGGAAATACTGGAGTCATGTTCCAAAAGCTCTGTATAGTATGTGAGGTAAAATATGTAGTTGCAACACTCAGATTCCAATTTAGTACAAGTACCTTGTACATGTTTTGAGAACAAGACTAGGTTTTTAACTTTAATTTCAACTATATATGGAGCCAGCTATTAATCTCCTGGAAATACAGACGACAGTCTTGAATTAGTTAAATCATGAATATTTACTGCAATGACTTGGTGCTTTTTTTTTTTCATTCTTTAGGAGAAAATGTTCACTTAGACCATATGAAGACTTTTTTTTCCACCAAATATGATTAGGTTTAGCAAGGGAAAGTATCAAAAAAAGGAGACTAGGTAACTTTCATTGTTAGGCCAGAAGTCTAGCTAGGTCCTTAGGTCCACAAACAAAGGAGAATCAGCAAGAAATAAAACCAGAATTTCCCAACTTCTTTCAGAGAATTCCATTATTATTATTATACCAATATCCAAGATTGCACTAGATTAAAGAAAAGTGTAGTAGGGAGGATTTAGGGTTTCTGATTGTATGAACAATTCTAGGGTCTTCTAGCTTTTGGTTGGAGGAACAAAAGTGCATATTTCAATGTATGCAGCTAGCAGCAATAACAAAATTGACAAGAATTTGTCTTCACCGGTTTTAAATCTCCTGCGCCATGGCCAATGTCCTCATGAATGTTGCATATAGCCAAAGGCCATTGACTGAAGATCATCGGCATCTTGATAAGTCCATTGCCGGTTGTCTGTTTGCACGTCAAAGGATGACATGGAATGAGAAGCCTCTTCAAAGCTATCAAATGAACTTGATGAATTTCCATAATTTCCCAAGGAGTTTGGATCCATGATCCCATTTCCACAGTAGGGCATGCTACTGCTGAGGTTATTTGGATTCAATTGCGGCACTGTGCTTGAATTCTCTGATTGGAACCAGCTTTGCATTTCTTGTGGATAAGAATGTTTTCCATGGTACTTGTCATTAGGGTTTGCGGTGGCAGAGCCATTTTGAAAGCTTTGAGATGCTTGTTCCTTGAGAGAAGCCAGTTGTGCCTGAAGATTGACAACCTGCAAAGTTTTGAAAGTTGAAAGAAATTCTAATAAATCCGTACGAATTAAAGAAGAATTTAATTAGGGTTTCAATAATCAATTAAAATAATATTTACAAGTTCAAAGAGTACCAAACCTGTTGTTGAAGAGCAAAAATGTGAGAAACACAGCCATAAATGGGATCTTGAAGCCTAGCTTGAGCTTCATATGAGATTGTAACTGCGGCTTCACAACGATCACTTACAGGAAGGTGGGCAAGCAACTTTGAGACATTGCTTGCACCAAAAACTTTGTGGATTGCTGAAAAATGTTGAGCACCTAGTTCATGACAGAAATAAGGTGCAAAAACACAACCTCTCATACATTTTCTTCTCAAGAACTTGCAAGCTCCACAAGGAGAACCAGAACCTGTCATGTTGATCTTTTTGAGCAAAGAGAGGCTGTGGTGTTTTTGTGTTTTTAGGTTTTAGCTTTGTGCAAGCATTACCAACCATATATGCTTATAAACACTTGAGAAGGAGGAGGAGAATCATAAAATAGTCAATAGTTAATTAGGACTGGTTCCCTTAATGGGCTACATAAATCATTATTTTTTTTCTTTATAAAACCATCTTCCACCCTTCAATCTTAAGTATTTTATACCCTCAAATGAGATTCCTTGCAACATCCCTATACGACAAAAGAGCTAGAATAAACCAAACCCATTTCCATTTGCTTGATGATTGGATCTATTGGAGCATAAAAATTTAGTTTGGTCTTCATGTGTGATAACTGCAATGCAATTTCTAGGTGAAATTAGATAATGTGACCAGGAAAAACAGAGGATTAAACAAATGAAAGTACTTGGTCAAGTTAACAATGTCCAAATGCTCATTTTCTATCGCGATACTCTAATATAATCAATAAAATTTTGCATTTTCCCACGGTAGTTTAGTTAGGTCGAAGACCAAGTTAATCAACACCGTATTGCAATGGTTTGCTAAAATTAGATTTTCCTGGCTGAAACACTGTGATATATTTTAAGAGTGTTTGCTACATTTGTTCTATTTACTTCTTGCTGATGCCAATTCTACAAAATCTGAAGCAATATGTTGGTCCGTGTACACATGCTCTTTGCATCTAAATTGCCAATGTACACACACAGCTAGCAGTGAATCAGATGGCATCTACACACGCACAAATAGATGCTAAGTCTGCAAATTGAATAGTCTTAATTTGTCAGAGAATGTAATTAATGGTCAGTGATTACATGTGTTTTAATTTAATCAATCGAACACACTGAGATTTTCCCATCATTTTTTCTTCTGGATGATTGATCCGGGGAATTTCTCCTTTGCATTTTGATTTTCATAGAATGAAAATAAATTAAGAACCATAGTATACTATAAATTTATACATTTACGCATGTCAGCAAGTGGAAAATCAAAATTTGGCTACACAGCATAATTAAAATCAGAATCAAGAATCAACACTTTCAGTCTGAGAAAACAAACCAACATGGATTGGCAGTGTAGGCGAACCTTCCTAACACGTGAAGAGCACTAGCTTGTAGGTAATTCTAATGTATGTGTGTTCAGGTGGGAATATCATAGCATGTGCATGCCTCGCGCGATAAACAAATTATATGTACGAATCAAAGACAGATTCTGGTTTGAATTAGTTAAGGTAGCTGAACATGCTTGGAACCAGAATCGGATAATAGATGTTGGTTGGATTATTGATTGATTTTAACAGGTCATGCTGATCTAGCTAGCTATTATCTGCCCAAAAACAAAAGAAAACCAATCCTATAGAAAAGTACTGACACGTATAGCCAATCAACACAGGCAAGTACACTTTGAGGAACAAAATGTTAACGTAGACAGTAATATTGGTCAGTACCAATGCTGTAGAATAAAACTGAGCATTTAGTACTCCTCTTTTGACACTCACTTCTACAAGCTAGATATCCTATTTATATCTTCTTATTTCTTTTTTCTTTTCTTTTTTTCTTTTTCCGGATAACTAAGGCAATTAATTAAGATCCAATCCTAGTAGTATCATAGTAATGATAGTTTAGGATCAGAATCTATTGTTTTGTTTCTATGAAAGACGATGGAAGCATACATTTTATTGATGTCAAAATATCTCAGGTGACCAGGATGACACACAACGTAGATTAACCTGTTTACAAAAGGAGATTAAAGCCATGTTGAGATAAAAAGTAACTAAAACATTAGAAAATTAAATCTAAGTTGCAAGCTTGGCTTCATGCTCAACTGTTGTTTGGTTAGGCGGTTGTTGTTGGATGTTATTGAGCCTTTTCAACTCAAAAACTAACTCAATGAGTAAAATTTGTACTCATATTTATAATCATGCATTTAATTCTTTTCACAATGGATGTGGAATAATTCAACAACTTTTTCCTTTGCACTTCAAGTTTTAAATTGATCATTTTTTAATCAATTTGTGTGGTATCCGCACATGAGCCTTCTCAATTTCTAAAGTTAGTTTAAGGAATAAGATTTTTCTTAACACTTATTACAACACACTCACCTTCTTTCGCAACCAATACGGAATAACCTGTAATCACTATGTTATTTGATTTCCTCCTTGAGTGCATAAAACTGACAGCTCTAAAAGATCTGTCTAGGAAAATGTTTGAATTCAAGGTGAACATATATTTCCAAGGACCAAAAGAGAAGGCATGTGATAATATGATAAGGATTAGTAACTTGGGCCAATTAATTCCGTCCCACATCTTGGTTCGTGAATTTCTTTTTTATAGCTTGAAGAACTCGTGACTTCTCTAGGTTTTTTTAAGAAATAAAATTTCTCGTGATCTTTTTTTACAAGATTTAAGTGGGTTCCATTAGATTATAATTAAGGTCTCTTGGTATACAACATGTAATTTATTTTTTTATTATTATTATTTTTTTAGATATAAGTTATGATGACAACCCGCTTGACCAAACGCATTAAACAAGACAAGTTGATGGTAATTAGGAATGGTACTTTTACTTAAAACATGACACAGAAAGAAATGATCAACGAGGATCAATAATGAACAAATTTTCAATATTAATATTTTTATTGCAATATTTCAATAAGTTAAGCTTTAGAGTTTCGACAGGTAGGTGGCTCAAGATCACTCAAATCAGATCCATTAGGGAACAAACATTGTTAATAGTTACAACATTAACTGGTGGATAGTGATTAAGTACAGATAATCAGACCGTGAAGGAACATGAAGAGAAGCATATATTCCAAAATTGAAAGAAACAAAAGATAGTGACACTGGAATAGAACACTTGACTATAAGCGAAGAGCAAATAGTAGAGCGAGAGAGGGGGTTTTGCCTTCTTAGTCTTTGATTTCTTTAAGTGTTGCAGGTCACAGCTTGTCGAGCAATACTGTACAATTATCATTAACTAATCTTATATATACATAATCATTAATCACTTTCAGTCACTTTCTTCTGTCACACATAGGCACCAACATGTAGACCTTTCCCAAATGTGCACCTTGGCCCCACATCCAACTCTAATAATGACACCCTAACTTAACCCCACCCTCCTCTTATGTTAATGCACTCATGACTTAGAGTTTATAGTACTGCAATTAATGGGAATGATTAGTCTCTAATTTCTCAGTAATTTATTGCTTATCAAATGTACTTAACTAGCCACGTACAAGTTACAACTAATCGACTATGTAATAATTTGTCAATAAACTGTAACTTAACTTAACCCTAGAAAGTTAATTTAAATAGAAATAGCTCTAGATGTTTAAATAAGTGATTTCATGTTCAAGTTTTAATGTATGTAAAAAATTCATTAGGTAATTTTACCTGTTTTGTGTATTCAATTGAAAAATAAATGATTAGTCTGAATTTTTGAAGTCAAAATAACTTAAAAATAAAAATAAATAAATAAATTATAACTTAATTGACATTAATATCTTTTGTCGTCAAAAAAATTCAAATTCAAATCTCTCTCTCAAAAAAAAAAAAAAAAAACCTACCAAGTAAAGTTAAAATGTTTTCTTTAAAAACAAAAAATGCTTGATTTATCACAAACGTAATAGAACTAAAATATTGCATTAATGAAGAAAATAAAAATTAGGATATATATATATATATTGAAAAAGTTAATCAATATTATTTAAAATTCATGTAATGGCCTTATGCCTTTTTTTTTTTTTTTTGAAAAAAAGAAGAAGCTTAATGTGGTTAATTAGATGAGCATTTATATCAAGCACTTCTGATTACAAACTAATTAAGATGATAATCTTCTTAATTTCTTCAATTTATTCCTTTCTATTTTTTTTTTTTTTTTTTTTTTTTTGTTTGGGATGCTAGTCAATGCCCTACAACTTGATCTTAATGTGCGTTTTTATGTCGTAATAAGAGCTTTACATTACCCGATTGATGGGATGCTCAAAAGTGACCTACAATAAAAACAAATTAATTAGCACCTCCATACATTATATACAATATAATATAATATTTAGTATAAGAATTCAGATAATTAATTAAAATGCCATAATGGAACGTTGGCAGAGAAAGATCGATGAGAAGGCTATATATCCTATATATGGATCGCTATTGGAAGACACAGGTGGACGTATTAACTGGGTTTTTTGCATGGCGTCGACCTCATTGGCAGCTAGCCATTAATCCCACCATGGGAAATGGGTTATCAATCCATGTGTACTTGTTGGCCACTTCAACATGAAAAGGAAGAGTGATCTTGGAGACAAGAAGGCATGCTAAATTAATTTATGGGATTATTAAATTCACATAATCTCTCCTTTAAGACAATAATGTAGGGAGGGGTTCAACTAATCTTAAAAGCAGCACACAATAAACACATCTCTATATACTTTCTTTAATCTTTCAATCCATAATTTTAAATCATGAGAGAAAACCTCCTGATAAACCTTTTAGCATTCCAAAGGCTCTTTTGTTTGCATTTCTTATTCAAAAAAATAAACCTTTATATCTCTCTATATCCTACTTCCTCTTCCACCTCCTTCATACTCATTCCTCAACCCCCAATAATAAACAAAATTAATTCTTCACCCTATTTCTCCCTATTAAAAATATCTCTCCCTCCTTTGAGCTACACTGAAGGCCTAAAGATTTTAGATATTGTGGCCATGACTCATATATTTATATATCTTCTCAAATGGCTAGTAGAGACCCTGTTTTCTCTCTCACTCTCTTATAAACACAACGGAGTAAATTATAGATTAGTGTTTTTTATTCGAGAAACGAATTTAACTATTTCTTTTCGTGTAAAAACTAGTCATTTACATAATTTTGTTAATAACTTAATTTTTTATCAGTTTTATGTTAGATTTATGATCCCCCCCCCCTCCTCAAATTATCCTTTACTTGATGTTTTATATCTCTCATTCACTCACTCTATTTTT